TCCTTCCCTCCCTCCTTCCCTCCTTCCTCTCCTCCTTCCCTCCTTCCTCCCCTCCTTCCCTCTCTCCTCTCCTTCCTCTCATCCTTCCCTCCCTTCTTCCCTCCTTCCTCTCCTCCTTCCCTCCCTCCTTCCCTCCTTCCTCTCCTCCTTCCCTCCCTTCCTTCCCTCCCTCTTTCCCTCCCTCTCTCTCTTTTCTTCTTTCCCTCCCTCTAGTGCAGTGTGTGCACAAAGTTTCCAATGTTTGGGAAGAGGAAGAGCTTGAGAACCCACTTCTCTCCACCACCTGCTGGGCTTTTCTGATCCACAGAGTAAGTCAAGGCCAAAAGATTTCCTTCAAAAAATAGTTTATTCTGCAGGCTCCGGGCAGACTCTTCAGCCCACCAGAACGTTCAAGGAGGCAGCTAGACATGGGCTTGAGTTTCCTCCAAAACCAAGAGTGCCTTACTTGAAGAACCCTTCACTCTCTAGAGCAGCAGTGATCCCCACCCTGCCCAGCTCCAGGTGGGACAGGAATCCACTCCACTTTCCCACCCCTCCCAGCCCTGCCCCACCTTCACCTTCCAGGGCTGTCATTGGCTAAATGTTGGACATTTTTGTTTTAAACCAGACATCTTCAAGCATCCTGGCTTGTGGAGGGTTTGATAATTGCCTGCTGCCTCAGCCTGGAGCGATGCTTGGTATCTTTAGACACACAGCCCACCAAGGCAGCAGGTGGCGGCTAACTCTCCTAGCCCCTACCACTGGCACAGAGCATCTCAGACCCTGACACTGCATGGCTTGTGAGTACTGGCAGGAACATCGCAGAGCCCACAGGGCGCTTGCAGCACAGTCCTGGGTCACCAAGGGCCAGCGCCATTGGTTCCCACCCTGGATATCAAAACAACACGGTGAGAAAGTACATGGACTCAGGGGTCCTCAGAAGGTGTAGTGTTGACCACAGAGGCAGCTTGCTGTGAGTCTGGGGAGGGCTTCTCTGCATTCAGGCTGTGACCTGTGTGGGTGGTAAGTCTTGCAGGAAGCATGGTGGGAGGGCCAGTACTTGTTCCACTTGGGGAGGAGGGGCAGGCAGAGCCATTTTCCTTTCTCTCTGAAGAATCACTGCTAAAGGGATGGTCCTCCTCACTCCGTAGGGCCACTTAAAGGACAAAATACCATTCTGCCTTTTTTTTTTTGAGCTAGGGTCCTGGCTAGTCTGGGACTTCCTATGTAGACCAGACTGGTTTCGAACTCATAGAGTTTGATCTGTTTGCCACTGCCTCCCAAGTGCTGGGATTAAAGGTGTATGCCACCACACTTGCCTATTTTATAATAATAATAATAATAATAATAATAATAATAATAATAATCCTAACAACAACATTCCTACCCTGACCTGAGTGATTAGGCAGTATTCAATAAGCCTTCTTACAAAAATAGGTTCTCTTGGGTCTGGTGTGAATCTGTTTTCATGTGCCTGTTTACTAAAAGACTCAAGTTGCTGAGTGAAAAACAAAAATAAAAGTGTCCAGTGATCAGACAACCAGCTGAAGAGACCTGGACCCGCATGCCAGGCAGAACACAAGGGACTCAGGCTGTTTGCTTTAGCTGAGTGACTGACCTAGCAGTTGTTTGTGGGGACAAATCCAGCGGTCCCCAGGCGGTGGTGGCAGGGGGGGGCACACTCCTTCCTGCCTAGCAAGGGCCCCAGGGACCAGCAGCTCTGCCTTCGAAGTGCTCAGGATTGCTTTCCTTTCCTAAAGCTAGCCTCCAGGGTCCTGCAAGGGACTGCTGTGTGGCTATTTCTGTGGCCCAGGGTCCTGGGGAAATCCAGAGCTGCTCAGGGGGAAGCTGGGCTCTCTGTGGTAGACAGCAGCTGAACAATCTGTATCCGCTCAGCAGGGCTGAGGTGCTGGCTCAGGTACACAATGCAGTCCATGGCCACCTCTGGGTTTTTCTGAACCAGACTAGGGAAGGAGAAAGAAGGGCGGGTTACCCCGTCACTTGGTGGTTCCTCGCTGGCAGCACCCTTGTACAGGGCCAGAAGCCAGAGCCCCTGAGTCCCTCCTGTTGCACTGGGGAGTGACAATCCTGTGGGTAGAAGGGACTATGGCCTAGAGATCAGAATGCCTCAGTTACCACAACTCTTGCCAGTCACTGGTTATATAATGTGACCTGAGGCATGGCACACCCATGAACCACAGCTTCATGCCCTAAATGGGGTCCCAGTTGTCCTATGACCCACCCCCTTGGAGGCTGTAGGAAGGCTGATGAGGATGGATGCCAGAACCCTCAGATTCAATGGTCTGAAATGTGCGTCCCCCTAACTAACCAGACACAGTCTGTGACACAAGATAGTTGACCATATAGACCTGGCTCTGTGCCTCTCCCTGATCACTGCTCTGTCCTGGGGGAGTATGGTCATGCTGGGCTATCACCTAACCCATGAGACCAGGCCAGTCATAACAGGCCAGTGAGCCGGGGTCTGGGTATGGCCTCACTTACCCTTGGATGGTCTTAAGGACAGAGTCCTGCTTCAGGCACTTGATGTTCTCATGGATGGCAGAGTGTAGGCTGTCCCTGGCTGGCCAGTGCTGCTCCAGCCACTGGACCACCACCTGGTTGTTGTCCCACAGGTAGGCCTGGGAACAAGGGGCACAGGCTGCCTCAGGTGGGGTTGCTGCAGGGGCAGCAGCTGGCCATCCCACTGTTCCCAGTGCTTGCCATCCCCTATACTCCCCTTGCCCCACTCAGACCCACCTTGACGGCGCCCTCTGTTTCCACAAACCAGCGGCGCAGCATGGACTGTATGTGCTCATGGCTCAGCTCAGGGCTGGCATGCAGAATCTCCTGCTTTACTTGGGCCTCCAGCAGCAGCCGGCGCAGGCGCCAATAGAGAAAGGTGCGTGAAGTCCTCCACTCCAGCACGTCCTGTGTGGACAGGCACTGCCTGAGCACCCATGAGGGAGGGAAGGGATGGCCAAGATCATGCCCCAGACCAGCTGCTTGTGCCCACCTTATCCTATAGGAAAGGATGCCATGTCCAGGAAGGACAAGGTCTTGTCCAGGAAGGTGCCTTGAAGAGCCCTGCAGAACCCCATAGTGCCTGGTCACAGGCCAGCAATGCCCCCCTGCACTAACCTGGTGGCTACCTCTGTTGACACACAGTACAAGTTCAGGTTGGTTCCCATAAGAAACGTGGTTAGATAAGGGCATAGGCCAGTGGGCATGGGATGCCCTCTTTAGGGAGCAATGCCAATGCAAACAAGGGCTTCAAGCCTCACGCAGGTACAAGCTTACAGATCCATCCCAACACGAGTTAGACCAGCATTTCAGAAACCTGGGCCTCCCTGAGTCTACTGGCACTCCTTACAGGCTCCTACTGACACACTCAGATCCAACTGGATTCACTGGTCCTGAGAGCCCTCCGAGCATCAGCTTGGCTCCATCCCAAATCCCTGATGGAAAGTCTCCTCTATGTATGAGGCCTGTGACCCTGGGGAATCTTACAGAGATGGTTCCTTTCTCTAGCATTCGGCCTGGGGTGTCATGCAGGTCAGCAAACTGCACCGCCACCTGGTGGTAGATGGGGAACAGGAGGTCCTCACGAGCCTTCAGCTGGGCTTCCAGCTCCCTTCGGTCCTTGTCAGGCAGCTGGGCAGTCCCTGCAGGTGAGCAGGCAGAGGGTCAGGAATTCAGGGGACTGTGGAAGATGCTGAGTGGGGCTGGGGTGCAGGGTTGGTTTTTTATTAAAGGCCACAAAAACAAAAGGCCTTGTCTTGTGAGAGGTCTGGGCAACACTATTGATACTGGCCGTAAATCAAGTTGCTTAGAGCCTCATGAATGTGCTTAGTACCAAGACAGCATCTGTGTGCAGCTCTAGGCTTGGGCTTGAAGCATACCATCAGTTGCTGTCTTAATACTTATGATAAAATACAATGGGGAATATGCTAACTCCATGACAGAGTCCTTGAAATAAATACAGAAGCCATCGAAGCTCAGCTGAGAGAAAGTTAAGGAAGACAGGCTTGTATAATAAAGAAGGTGGATCTGCAGTCAGAGATTCCTAACCAAGACTTCAAGACAAAATGCAAATTCCACACAAACCCAGAGACTTGGAGCACAGGCCCAAATCACCAAGGCCTGTGTCATCATCAGCATCCAATCCCAAGGAATCACACACTATAACAAACATGTGACCAGCCTGGTTATAAAGGCATTGCCACCACAGCAACATCTCGGGGAGATGACACCAAAGATTAGAAGTAAAGCAACACACTGGTAAAATTCTTTCTCCTGATCAGGGATTCTAAATGGACATTTTTGTCACCCAAATTCTGCTGTTTCCTGTTGGCCCCAACAAACTTTGTGTGTGCTGAGCAATAAACTGACTATGGGATTACAGGATGACCATATCTAATCCAAGAATCCAAAATCCAAAATTCTCCCAAGCCTGAAACTCTGGGAGCACCAAGGGGTACCTCAGTGGAACATTCTATACCTGAGCCCAGGGGATTGGGCTGTGGTCAAAACACAGTGAAGTCACCATCAGGCTATGTATCAAATGAATTTCAAGTTTAGGCCTGGGTCCCCTCCCCACATCTCACGGTGGCACACATACAAATATACCTACGGTGCCTGGCATTTGAAATGCTTCCAGTCCCAGCATTTCTGGTGCCACCCTGAAGGGGCTGAGTTGGGCATGAGGGAGGTTTGGGTCTCACAGATTTTACAGCTATGTTTGGTTCCCTTTGAACTCCTTAGAACAGTTGCGCATGGAGCCCAGGGCCCCTGCTGACCTGCAGGTGGCACCTCTGTGACTCTCTTACCTAACTGTTCCAGGAGCTTCTTGCACATTGGGTCCATTCTTTTCATGGTCTTAACCAGATCTTTCTTCCGGAACTTAATCTCCACTGTGCCCTCTGGTTCCAGGACACCCCCCCTGAACAAGAGGAGACAGAGGAGTGTGAGGTATTGTCATGCAAATGACAACTAGTTGAGGTGGTGGGAACTGAGGGCCAGAGAGCTGGGAGATCTGGGTCTCAGAAGCTCCCCCAAGGGGCTGTGCACCCTTGGGCAAGTTACTTCCCCTCTCTGGGTCTCTGTTTTTACTTACACAGAAGGAAGGATGGAGGGATTTTAAAAATATTATTAGGGCTGGAGAGATGGCTCAGCGATTAGTAACACTGGCTGTTCTTACAGAATACCTGAGTTCAAATCCCAGCACCCATATGGTAGCCCACAACCATTGGTAACTCCAAGTTTCAGGGGATCTGACGCCCTCTTCTGACCTCTGTGGCATTGTACAACATGGGTGCACTTACATACATGCAGGTGATACACTCATACACATAAAATAAAAAAATTAATTAATTAATTAAAAATACTTATTGTGTGTGCATGGTACATGTATGGGCAGCTGTGTGGAAATCAGAGGACAACTTTGTGGAGTCTGTTCTCTCCTTCCATCTTTACTTGGGATCCAGGGATCGAACTCAGGTTGACAAGCTTGTATAGCAAGCACCTTACCTGCTGAGCCATCTTGCCAGCCACTCTTTTACTTTTTTTAATGTTTGCTTATTTCTTTGCATGTTTTATGACTCTTTGTGTGTGTGTGTGTGTGTGTGTGTGTGTATGAGGGTTTGTGCATGGAGGAAAGAGGACATATCT